TATGACTTAGTATGTATTATGTAAATCCACTTAATTGTGATTTATTCAGTAAACCTTGCACAAATAGTAGCATCGTAATCACTTCAGTGTTCTGGGACTCTTGTTGCTCTTAGCATGACAGAGAAGACTGTTTTATAAGAAATGCAATCAGTTATTTATTGCATTCTATACTTGAAAAATATGCCCAGAATGATTTAGGAAGATCTTGTAATGCTGCGTATATTACTCTGGGATTTACTCTGCATAACAAAATTACACTATTCAAGAAATTAGATTGAGGCTGAAGCACTCACACTCAGACATTCCCAGAGGTGGGAATGGTGACAAAATGAAAAAGATTACATGCTAAATGTTTTAATGCCTTTCTTTAGTAAAATATTATAAACAATATGTTAATTCATTAGAGTTCTTGGTTAGTTGATAAATTATAAAAAAGGGTTTTATGGCATCTTAAAGACAATCAAATTTATTATAGCATATGCTCATTAAAGGCATATTTACAGTGCCACAAAATATTCTGCTGCAAAGATTAAACATCCGTCTAACAAAAATTACTCATTAATTTATTATAATGCATTTTATGCGAACCTTTGCTTTTCTTCAGAAATATAGCCATGAAGGCTGAGAGCAAAGATGCAGGGAAGAGACGAATATGATGATAGTGTTCTAAATATACCCTCTGAGTTGGAATATTCTAGATTCAAAAATGCTATACACTGGGGACAGGGAGATAGAAGGAAAGCAGAATTGCAATCCTAAACCAGTTTATTCAGAAGTAAATCCATTAAATATAGGCTGCTAACAGTTCATCTCATAAGAACCTGGCCATGGATATTTGTATATAGATGTAAAGCATTCTGAAATTGCTACCCAGAGAAGCAAGCATCAATGCCTTTTTCCCAACAAGAGCTATCACTTGTATAGCTACAGAACTGAATGATAAGTAATTATGGCTTGTCTGTATGTCCTGTAATATAAATGTATCTATATATCATTATAACTATCTTTAATCTGAAGTAGTTGGTGCTGCAAAGGTCCTAGGGAGATAGGAAGAACATGGAAGAATATACATGAAAAAGTATCAGAGCATTAAAATGATATAGAAAAAGGGATTTAGTAGGAGCTATTAAATAGAAGATAATGGAAGTCTTGCAATTTGAACAGTGAAACTGCTAGGTCAGTGCAGCCAAGAAGATACTGTCTTAAGAATAAGAAGACTTCTTTCAACCTGAGATGAGTTGGAAAACTTGATAAGCTGAAGGCATTTTCAGAATGTGCCTATATACTTTCTGCCTGCACACCTGCCCCTGAATGTAAAACTGCAGGGTTTTAGACCATTAATTGCTATTTACCTGAACAGTTTCTCTGGTGCTGAGGAATTCCCATGGATGGTATGCAGCAAATATGGCAAGATTAAGGAACGTGCAGCCAAGTAAGGTGTAGAAATAGAAGGGAAACAATTTGCCCTGTACCAGGCCAAAGGTGTGCCGGCTCACAGTTCGGAAAAGAACAAACCCTAGAGAGAAAATAAGGATAGGTTACATGGGGAAACACACCCTTTTCTTTAAGCAGTGGAAGAGAAATAGGATTCCAAAGATTTGAACCAGCAGACGGAGTTCAGATTTCTACATAAAACGCATTTTACTACATAACTAACTACGTAACTTTCATACAGCTAACTAAGAAAACTATAGGAACTGAACTTCCCAGAGTGATGTTGGCAACAGTGACAGGATCTGGAAGTCTAAGAGAGTTTAAGGGCTCAGAAAAACCAAGTTAGAAGAAGATACTGGTAATGTTAGAGGAAGTTACAGGCAAATTTGGAAAACATGGATGTTTCTCTCTTTTCACCTCATCCTTCCTCTAACACAGCCCTTGCCATACAGAAGAACAACCTTCTAAGCTAGCTCCCCTCCTGCCCTCCAGACATACCTGAGATGAAGGTTACCCATATCTGCATTCCCCAGGCTGTAGAGAGGAGAAAAAGCTGGGTGATTCTGATAAGGCCACTTGGCTCACCTTCCATCGACTTTTCTGAAGCAAGATACGGAAGAAAAGGATTGAGAAAAGGGAAGAACAAGGAGACACATCCAAGGGTGGGTGATATCTAAGATCTGGTCTTAGCCATGTTAATTGATAATTACCCCAAATGTGTAATATGATGCCAACTATTCTGTGATGGAAAACATACCAAAGTATGTTTACTTTTATATAGGCCCTGAACTGTATTTGTATATGTAAAATACTTTTTTTTTAAAACAGTACATAATTATTTTACTATCTATTTTGATTAATTGCTACCGCTTGTTTCAACATGTCAAATCCTCAAACATGTACCAATGTTACTTCTGACAATGTTATCAAGATGTATTTCATTTTGCTAATGGACATATAAATCATGGGAGCCAGTCATATTTTAGTTATATTTAATGTCTAAACATTAATCTCCCTCCCAAAGAACCTCCATTGCCAGATAGTTCAAAAGAGCAGCAGGCAGGCAGCGATAAGAGCTGGAGAGGCAAGCAAACAGGCACAAGGCAGAAGTCAGTTGCTAAACACTGCCTGCCACTCTGCTTAAAGCAGCAGAACTCTTAATTGCCAAGAGACTGGATTACATTTAATCTGCCCACATCCCATCTGATTGTAGACAAGGCCTGGCTATGCCCCTTTCCTATCTCTAACAGGCAGATAGGATTAGCTTATTTCACACATTGAAGTGGAGGCAGGAAAGGGCCATCTTATTTATTTATCTATCTATCCTATTTGTATGGCTATTCATTTCACAAGAGAGACTCGGGTGGGTGTTACAGCACTTAATTAGAAAATTTGTGTTTTCACAAATATAACTGAAAATCATTATTAAAAACTAAAAAACACACACAAAACAAGAGATGTCAGCCACAGTATGGATTGCAAGATCTCCCAAAGCTGAAAGCATAGTCAGGTCTTGAGGGACTTGTGGAATGTTAAGAGGGATGGTGCTAATCTCATTGCGGGGGGGGGGGGGGAACGAAGATTCTAAAAGGTGGGTGCTGCAACTTGGTGAGCTCCCGTTACTTGTCCCAGGTCTGTCCACCTAGCAGTTTGAAAACATGCAAATGCAAGTAGATTAATAGATACCACTTTGGTGGGAAGGTAACAGCATTCTGTGCGCCTTTAGCATATAGCCATGCTGGTCACATGGTCATGAAAATTGTCTTCGGACATCACTAGCTCCATTGATCAAGAAATGGAGATGAGCACTGTGCCCTAGATTTGGATACAACTGACAGGGATACCTTTACCTTTTTACAACAGAGGCCTGCCTCCTAGGATCCGCCAAATGTAATTCCTTAACAGGGACTTGCAGCATGCCTTCTCTGTCAGATCTGATGAGATGGGCAGATGGAATTATGGATGGGCTGTCCCTCAGATAACCTGGCCCCCTGCCTTGAAGGGCTTTAAAGGTCAACATCAGCACTTTGAATTGGGGGCAACCAGAAGCAGACTGGCAACCAATATGTACTTTTCTAGGAATACAGATAATTGCTTGCATTGCTGCATTCTGCACAGATTAAGCTTTCAGATAAGTTTCAAGGTCAGTTGCATGTAAAGCATATGACAGAAGGCCAAATGGGAGGTGATTGGGTCATAAGTGACCGTGAGCAAGCCCCCCCACCTCCTCGATCCAGGAATAAGTACAACTGGTGCCCAACACGAAGCTTTGCAAAGGCCTTCCTAGCCACAACTGCCACCTGCTCTTTGAGTAGGAATTTTGAGTTAGGTGTAATGTTCTTCTTCAACTGCTAGATTAATTTTCCTAAGGTTTTAGGTCTTAGGTTTGCGTGGCTACAGAGATTAGATTCCAATAACATACTAAACTCTGTCTAGATTTACAAGCCATTTACTTTAGCCGGATATTTCCTGGTCTCAGCCTACATTGTTCATTTATGGTTCAGTATGTTTTGTGGACCCAGAAAATAAGTATTTTGCCTTCCTGTTAAAAATGGTGGCATCCATGATTCTTTCTCAAAATCCCAAATGTTCCATCAGCCCATAAGATAGAGGATGGCTCGGTTTCTACACGTCCGTGGAATGAAACTAATTCTCCAGGACACAAAACCATACCCTGAACGATAACATGAACACTGGCGGCATATCTAAAATAGGATTGGCTATCGGTGGTTTACTACGCAAAGGAAGTACTATCGACACATGGCGGAGCTCTTCAAACATGCATTGGTGAACGCCGCAGATTTTGAGGCGATTCACTTCCAAAAGCCACTGCTTACACGCTGCCTTGGCATCTCCGCCCGCCCCCACCCCCAAGCAGCCCGCCGTTTCGGGGGCGGTGCAGATTGCTGTTTGACAACACCGGCCCGGGATTCCGCGATCGCGTTCGCGGCTTCGTGCTAATGTCCACTGACTTGGGACTCGGTCCTCCAGGCTCCGGAACTTATTTCCCGGGCAGAGAAATCAGGAAAAATCAACGGGAAGGAGACTTAACGTAAAACAGCAGGAACGAAGCCAGTAATTTCTCCTTCCTGTTTCCGCCTCCGCCACTCTCCCGCAAACATATTTTGGCACAGAGAAGCCGACAGGGCTCTTCTGGCCCAGGGCACTCGGGAATGAAGCGGCAAAGTTCAAGGAAAACTCGGGAAAGGGGAAATCACTGAACTCGAAAAGCTGGAAAGGGAGAAAGGATCTTTCGCAATGAACAAGAGCCCAAAGGGATAATTCCGCGCTTCCTAATGCACACGAATCTTGCCCTGAATACCGAAAGGGAAAAGCCTGCAGGACTCAAATGCGCTCTCCCTCCCCCAGAAAAAGCAGCGCTACCTCGGAAAGTGCACCCGGGCCACGCTGCCCCAACTGCACAGCTATTACCCCAGCAATCGCCCACCTCTTCACAGCAGCGCGTCGGGGAGCAGCTTTGCCCAGACCACCTTAGCAAGCAGGCCCCGCCCTCTGAATTCAGAAGAGGGAGCGTCATGAAGGGAGGCGTGGCCACGGCTGGCCGCGCCCCTTTGTTGGCACGTTGAATTGCCGCTAAACCATCTTCCCCCCTATCTGGTTTGGGTCAAGAGACTATCGCTGGCAGGGGCGACCTGGATGATGGACGGGAGGATGGTCACGAAGGTAAGAGTCGCGAGGTGGTGCACGACTCCTTTAAGTACGGCAGCGTTCCTGCTACTTCTTTTCTGCCTAGAAAACCTGAAGTGCGGATCGTGGATCAATGCACAAAACGGGAAGTGCACAAAACGGCCCGGCAAGAAACTGTGGGAACTTAAGTCTAAAACATACGTCTAGATGTATGGTTACCTTACTGCTACCTGTCCCATTCTTAGTTTGGGGTGCAGAGCAAAAGCACTGGCGTTTAAAATTTACTGGACTCGGTATTGTAGGATGGCTCACCAAGCTAAAAAACAGGCTACATTCCTAAGATTTTGAATACCCTCAGTTGTATCTCTCGCAATATTACTCCGATACTCCAATATGGTATTGATAGATTTCAGTTTCGGAATGATGCGGGAGGAATTTGGTAACACCTGCCTCAGGATGGATGCTAGCATTCTAGAAGGTATAATCTCAAGAGAGTGAATTTTATTAAATAGATAAAATTGATTTATACTTCACAAAAGACAATTGTAAATTAAGAAAACTGTAAATGGAGAAATTAACAACCTTGTGAGATATAGAAAGGGACAAAACAAGGATGTCCCTTGTTATTATTATTCATTTTAGCTCTGGAAGTATTGAATAGACACATAAGACAAGATGGAAGAATTGCTGGAGTGAGGATTAAAAGTGGAATGTATAAATTAAGGGTATTTGCTGATATTTGGTAATAATTTTGAAAAATCCTTTGGAAGAAATGGAAATACTAAAAAAATAAAGGACGTTGGTGCATTGATTAGCTGGATTTAAAATTAATGAGAAAATGAAGATGTTAAGTAAGATGAGGGTGAAGGTGTTTTAATATTCAGAAAAAAGTGAAATACTTGGTATTAGTATGATTAATATGAATTGCATGTTATTTCAGAACAATTATATTAAGGCATAGAATCAAATTAAAAAGGACTTACTAAGATGGAAAAAATTACAATTGTCATTGTTGGAAGGAATTTCTGTGATAAAAATGAATGACCTGGTTTGACCAATTTAAGTAAAGGCCAAAAGACATACAGTATCTAGGCAAGGGAATAGCTAAATTAAATATAAAGTCTGCTAAGATGCACACAAGGAGAATTTGAACTGCCTGGTTAGAAAGTGAAAGAGTGGGTGCTGCTGAGAAATAAGAGAATTTTAGAACTAGAGGGGCATGACCTGAGGTTTGGATGACACAGTTTTCTATGGTCGGATAAAGTTAAGATTAATGTAGATTTAAAAATCAGTATATTAGAAGTGCCATATTGAGAACATAAAATAAACCCAGATTGTGCCAAAAATGCCTTTATGAGTCTCAGCATAAGAATCATTTTATATAAAAGGAATAGCCAGCAAAGAAGGATAGTTAACATATAGAGAGCTGTTAGAATAAGAACATGGAGAATATAAGATGAAATCAATAGATCAATTGACTGGGATTTAACTTTCAAAGGTTTTCATATGCACAGCTAAAAAGAAATATTTAAGATAGATAAGAGGACATTTGGAATTGAATAGCATAAGTGCAAATTTGAATTTACAAATGATGAACATGTAATTGCTAAAATATAAACCTGTTGAAATTTGAAATGGGAGAACAAGTGAAAGAGTATATGATAAGGAACAAACATAAAGGGTCATTTTATTATGCCTAGTGATCTTGTAAAACAGCTAGAAAATTCTGGGTTCAAATACAATGATACAAAAAATAAATATTAATATTCAGAACTTTGCTTGTTGGAACTAATGGATAAACAGAAAAGAATTGTGGAAGAGTGTTTTTATAAACACTTTCAGAAAGACTTTGATATACCCACAATGGAGAAATGATTGGTGAAGATGACAGTTTAGCAGAGATGGCAACATTTACTTGTCTGATTAGAGAAAGGGCAATAACCATATGTATTGTTACTGGAAGCCTCTTATGAACTTTTGCTGAAAAAAAAAAGACATGAACTAGTGATTTATGGGTTTGATGACTAGAAAGGGTAGACTATGTAAAGAAGGAAATAATTTTGTTACCTTACAGAGGGTAAATATAAATGTAAAATCAGAAACTTTCTTTATTACTTTTTCTTTTCTTTCCTTATTTCCAATTTTTACTTTGCACTTTTAGCTCTTCCTGGCCACGCGTTGCTGTGGCTCATTCTGGTTAAATGGAAAAGAAAGAAAAGAGAAAGTGCACTTTTGTAATATGTTTAATTTCACAATGCTTGTGGGTATACAATATTTTTTGTTGTTCCATTGTCTGTGCAGATATAGAGATTGTCTGAAATCGTAGCGTGTGTTGCTTTTACGTCCAACAGATGGCACTGTTTTTCACAAAAAGCATGTTTTTACCTGTCACAGGTGTGACAGCTATATTACATAGGTATATAAAAACACGCATGTATTCGAATGCAACATTGTGTCAAAATTTCAAAGCAATCAGTGAAGAACTTTTGGAGATTTAAGATTTTGAACAAACGAACATTTACATTTTTATTTATATATTTATAGATATATAATATATATAGGTATATATGTATGTATATGTATGTGTGTGTGTATGTGTATGTGTATGTGTATATATATACGCTATAAAATAATCCAAACATCAGGATAATACTAAAAACAAAACTTGTTTAATTAAAAGCTAAGTCTTTTGTCAGTCAACACTACCAACATCATCAGAACATGATGCAAGATTGCTGGGAGTCCTTCTTATGCTGCCGGGTGGCTTTGTGCTCAGCTCTTTGACCTGGTTACCGGTCCATCCGTTCTCTCCATCTGGTTTCTTTTTTTTTGTTTTAATATATTTTATTGTTTTTTTTAATTTAAACAAAGAGTACATTAGACACACTGTGGTATTTGGGTAAACAAACTATTCAAGGTGAAAAACATACATAAACAGCTCAACTTAATACATTCACTATCATCTCTCTATTTCTCACAAATAAGATAATAGATTTAATATATTCCATTTCTAGCTTAAATTTCTATTTCTACTCCACCTGTTTTAAAGCTTTATCAATTTAAAATTACCATAGTCAAATATTGTTTTACATCAATAAATTATCACTTCAAGTATCTCTACCATGTATATTAAAGTTTTTAATCTCTCTCAACCCTCTTCTTATCATCCATCTGGTTTCTTAAAGGGCCCACGTCCTTTACCGTGTTGATGCCCTCCGAAGTTGCTGTTTCCTTCCTCCTGGATCCAACCACTCTCCGTTTCTGTTCACCCACTCTCACAACTGTCATCCTCTCTAGCCCCATTCCGTGGTCCGTTAGATCCTCCCTGGACTGACTATGTTTGCATGCGTTCGAGGGAGGGATAGCCCTATGGGACACCTGCTCCACGATCCCTGCCAACATGAGGGGAGAGATGGGTTATTCTACCGATGTGAAAGGAAAGGAAAACAGAGACCTACAATGGAAGGTGATGTGGTGAGGCCTCGCACGTGTGCAAAAAGGTCAAAAGAACTGATGAACCCAACGTGCGAGCAAGTAATGAGGAGCCTCAAGGGGAGGGGGACAACTAGAAGCGGTACAGCATATTCACGGACACCTGAGGAGGAAAACAGTGTCCCTGGGTGGAGGAATGTGTGCAGGAATGCAGCCGCCAGGGATTGTGCCGATAGACATCCAGACCCGCTTGACACATACCCTCCTTCGAACGCATGCAAACATAGTCAATGTCCTTGCAGTGATAAACTTAACTCATTCAAGATGGCAAAGATGTCAACCAAGTAAGCTATTTTGTGCAGTTCACTGTTATCGCTGAAAAGTGCTTCGAACTGCGGTCTTGCTTTCTGATTAAAAAACGTTTTGAGTTCATTATGAAGCTCAAAAACACGTTTTAAAACTTTTCCTCTCAACAACCATCTCACTTCAGTGTGAAATAGCAGAGCATTGTTCGGCGCATCCAACTCGTTGCACAGTTGCAAAAACAGTCAACTGTTTAAACTGCTCGCCTTTACAAAATTGACAGAATTTATGACGCTTTTCATTACTTCTTGTAACTCTTGTGGCAGCATCTTTGTAGCTAATATTTGCCAATGAATCATACAGTGAGTTCCAATGACTTTTGATGACTCATTCAGTACCAAACATTGAAATCCAGATCAATATCCTAGTATAGCTGGAACACCATCTGTGCAAACAACACAAACCTTTTCCCAAGAGATCTTATGCTCTTTCAGAAATGAACCAACTGTGTCAAATACATCACGTGCAGTAGTTGTCATTTCAAGAGGTTTGCAAAAAAGAAACTCATCTTTAAAGACGCCATCCTTAATATATCTCACGTAAACCAGTAACTGTGAACAGTTTGCAACTTCTGTAGATTCATCAAGCTGGATACTAAATATTGGAAGTGCAGCAGATTTAATTTCTTGGATTACCTGATCAAGAATATCAGCAGACATGTCATCTGTTCTTCTGCGGACAGTGTCATTAGATAAGGAAATTGCACTCAATTTCATCACAAATTTGTCTTCGATCATAACTCGAACAATGTCCTTGGCCAATGGCAACAGTAAATCCTCAGCAATGGTGTGAGGTTTCATAGCTCTGGCAATTCTGAGTGCCACCAAATATGAAGCTTCAACGGCTGCTACGTTTTGTTTGTGGTACTTGCCACTAGTGTCAAGTCTGGCTTTCTTGAGTCCATCAGCTTTGCTTCTAAAATAGTTGGTATCCTTGCCGGCAAAGCTCGGATGCTTGCTATCAAAATGGCGGCTTAGTTTGTTCGGCTTCATAGATTCTGCTGATAGAACCTCACAACAAATAAGACATTGCGGTTTCTCAATTCCTGCTGTAATTATTGAGGTAAAACCATACTTGTAAAAAATCCTCACTATATTTTCTTTTCTTAACATTCTTCTCTACACGATCCATTGTCATGGGATGGTTTGCTAATGAAAATAATATATAACAATAGCTTTAATAATACAAAAGATGATACACAGCATAGTTCAGTCAAGACAGTTCATTAAAGTTTCCTATGA